GGTCAACAGCTGAACACTGAACATTACAAAGCTCCCCAGGCCCCACTTGCTGGCCCAGGAGGAAAATGTCTTGGGTACAAGGGCTAACAATGGAGAGAAAGTGGTGACTATCCACTCTGATACCTCTTCCCTGCCCAATGTCACTGGATCCTAGCTTAAAAAACAAAACAAACAAACAAAAAACACCCCACCCCCCGGCTGTTTGACCAAAACCCTGAGCAACAGACTAAACATAAACACATTCCTGGAACTTAAGGTACCCCCGCCTATGCACTATGTGCAATTACCAAGAACATGGACCCGTGGGGGTGGGCTAGGCAGCAGCCCCAATTCTGTTAGGGCAGGCAAGCCTTCAGTTCAGGTACACAGACAAATATATCTTCTGAATCATCTCTACAGTGCTATAACCCTAGAACGCATGAGCCAGTCCTGTTATCCTAGTGCTTGTATTAGGTTAGCCTGGCTTTATGAGAATGTTTACTCTGGCTGTATATTTTTCTTGCATAACATGAGAACTAGAGCCATTCAGATCTTCTGTGCTGGATCTGTTAAGAATAATAGACAATCATTGTGAGGCCAAGCTAATCTAATTTTTGTTTTTCTGCTGAAATTAAAATCTCGTGTACTGTCTGTTCACTGTTTATTGCTAATTCATTTTCTCAGCAAGATAAGCTCTTATAGCTAGATATGTCACATACCTCAGAAGGCACATAGTAGTAATTCAAGAAAAAAAAAACCTGCTGATTGAATAATCATAATCCAATTACTAGGTATAAACTCAGTCCTATGGATATGAAACGCTGCTCTAAGGATACTCATGAATCTAGATGGGGAATTTTGCAGGTAAAAGTTTGAATATATGGGAAAAAAATGTCCTAACCAAGGGAAGAACGTGCCACACAGTAAGTCCAGGTGAACTGGATTTGCCATGAGGCAAGGGCTTGGGTCAAACTGACCTGTGTAAGTCCTTCTATTTACCTGAAAGATATCTAAATGGAATCGGGATGGATGTGCATATACATGTTTGTGTATGTGCTGGTACACTGTATGTAATGGTGCATACAGAGGTCAGAGGTCAACATTGGATGTTGCTCCCCGGGGCAGTTATGTACTTGTTTTTATTTATTTGATTTTTCTCATTTTTTTAATTGAATTTTTGTGCTTTTCATATAAAACATCTTAATCATCTTTCTACCCTTCTCCCAACTGCACCTTCTCCACCAAGGGCCAGGGAAGGGGGTGTATGACCACAAGGAAAGAGAGTCTTACAGGTTCCTGGGATCTTGCTCGATGGTGACAGCATGCACAGAAGACCCACTCAAACTCAATCAGACAAAAACCCAGCATAGAACTGGGGAAATGGGCAGGAGGCCCCAACCTTAGCCAAAGAACTATTGGCAGCTGATTACTGCTGGGTGAGGGAAAGCTGATCTTTAAGAGAGAGACTCTAGATAGGCTGATGACTTCAGTAGATGAACTTTCACTGAAGGATGTCTGGGTACACACTAACTTGGCTCGAAAGGTCTTAACATATATGACAGGGTCCACCTTGGTTTTTTGAGGCAGGGTCTTGTACTGGAACCTGGGCTCACTGACTAAGCCAGACTGGCTGGCCAATGAGCTCCAAGGACCCTGCTGTCTCTACCTCCTCAGCAGTGTGTAAAACTAGGTGCTGTGCACATGTCACAACTTCAGCACTTGGGAGGCCAAGTCAAGAGAATCAGAAATTCAAGGTCATCCTCGGCTACATTATGAGGCGAAGGTCAGCTTGGGATACATGAGACACTGTCTCAAAAACCAAACCAAATCCCACTATCCTAATAGCAAGGGCTATGACACATCCAGATCCAGTGTCCTCTCTCTGATCATGAGCGAGTCAAGGTCTAAGGATAAAGGCTTGGACTCAACTGCCGTTCCTGCAGGAGCTCACTTCCAGACACCGAGGAAGGTCATCTTCAAACTGAAATCAGGCTGTTCTCAGCCCGCTAAATCCCAGGAAAATTATTCCACAAACAGAATGAGCATTTATTAGGCTCGAGATTCACATCACTTTAATAACTTTCTGAGAGCACTGACAAATTTAATTTAGAGAAGATAAATTTGGACTGTAGCTCATAAAATGAAGAAAAATATTCTTCCTAATGGTCAGATTTCTTAAATTGCCACTTCAATTTAGGTAAGTCATTTATTTGAGGAACAAGGGGGGCCTTAGCCCCTCCCCCATCTCTGTGAGTATAAACCATTACTAGATTCTGCACTATTTTCTGTCTAGCATGGCTAAGTGTCTGAGGACAGCACATTTGCTCCTGCAAACACTTTTGGAGCATTTTCTCTGTGAAAAGGAGTCATTCCCTGTCATGGAGAGACCACCTCCTATACAGTTTTCTGCAGGAGGCACCTCTGGAGGCGGGAGGACAGGGTGCCCGGCTCCCTAGTTTTCCAAGGTTCATGGACAGGGTAGGCATCGGCTTCAATTTTTCTGAAACAGTAAAAGCTGTCATGGAGAGACCACCTCCTATACAGTTTTCTGCAGGAGGCACCTCTGGGTGACTGTCCCATAGGAGGCGGGAGGACAGGGTACCCGGCTCCCTAGTTTTCCAAGGTTCATGGACAGGGGAGGCATCGGCTTCAATTTTTCTGAAACAGTAAAACCAGAAGGTAGCCCTGAAGAAGGGTCTTTCTATTGCCAGTGGAAGGAAAAGGCCCGGGAGAAAACGGAAGACCCATTTGGAAACATCCCCAAGCCTAGCTTCACATACTTATCATGTCTTCTGTTGGCTCCTAAATCCTGTTCCTGCCAGTCATCCCTGGCTGAGGACCTCCTTCCAAGTACAAAGATGATTGTATGACAATAGGGCCACAGAAATATATTCAATCAGAAGAACGCTTTTGCATACAAGAGGATGATTTTAACATCCAGTAAACCCACTAAAAGCAGCCGTACTGTCTCTGTTCTCTGTTTCTACTAGTTTCCAACAGGATAATCACCTTTTGATTTTCTTTCAAACTGATCTGCCAGTCAAGTTCAAATGTTACTGTCTCTAAGAACCAGGTTTCTACCTCCTGTAAACTCCTAGAACACTTTTATCCTATGCCACTAACACTCTAGGATTATTCGTCAATTAATATTATGTACCTGGAGGCAAGGCCTTGGAGTTCTCCTCCTTCCCTTCCCTCTTCCATGAGTACTGGAGTTGCTACTGTTCAGAATGTCAACAGTTGGAAATTTTTCTCTTTTTCGCAATTACAAAGCAGCACTCATTTAACAGATGATTGTTTTGTATCTAGACAAAGACGGAAACAACTACCCAGGCAGATCCTGCTTTACATTTCCATACCAATTTCCATCCCTCATTCTCTATCAGGCAAAGTCAGCCTTAGTGGCTACTGAGAATACCAACAGGCCAGGGCTACGTGGTTTGCATATTTCTCTTTCAGTCCAGAGGCCCCTTCCCTAAAGCTGCCATCATGTGCCACAGGTAGACCCATCTCTGTGTTTGTGCAATGTCACCAGTGTGATGAGTGATGATTTTCAGAACAGACCAAGACCCCTAAGGTCTTGGGTGTACTGGGGCTCTTGACTGTCACTTTGTTCCCCCAACAGGGTGCTATAGTTTTTATGACTCTTGTTGGTCTTTACCACGTCTTCAACTTTTCCCTTCTCCTTAGCAGACATGGCCTCTCACCTGAGTACTTCTTTGAGGACCTTGAGAAGCCGATAGAGCATCCAGGAGCCTTTTTTGCTTCTCTTGGCACATCTGCGCGGTGGATACGCAATGGCATTTGCCTCTCAGTTTCTCAGGGTCTCCTTGGCTTAGTGGCTTTTCCTCAGCCAGGCAGTCACCCAGGGCCTATGTGGTTCTCACTGGCCCTGATTCTGCCTCCTGGGAGCCCAGTGCAGAGCCATGGCTCCTGCTCCCTGGTATTTCTCTGGATCCTGGTCTCCACTGAAAGAACTGCACCATAGTGAAAGCAATCAAAGCCCCTGACTACAGAGGGCTGGGACTCAGTGTGGGTAGGAGAGTGCCTGTGAGAAGGGGAACCCCATGTGCTGGAACAGAAGGCTGTAAGGAGAATAGCAGATCCTCCACAGCAGCATTGGTTTTGTGCTTCCAGAAACACACTATCTAGTCCAGGTGTGGCTAACCTGCGATCCACAACAGCTGTCCAGAACAGCAATGAGTGGTGCCCAACACATTTGTAGACCACAACATCATGATGCATTGCCAAGAGGCTGGAGACCCCTAGCAGTTCACTGCTGCCTTGGTTTTATGGTAATCCATCTTTCTGCCTGATTCTAATCAGGACCTTTGCTAAAAGAACATTCTGTCACCATTAATTTCTGATCAGCATCTAATTATTCCTAAGTACTATTTGGCTGTCTGTCTTCTGATTGGCTATTTTCAGAGGAAATAAAGTTAGGTTAACTAAATACGATGTGAAAGTCTAGATTTGATTTCTATATCCACGAGTGTCTTCTGGGCATGGAATCTTATAAAAAAGGTCTCTTATTTGCTCTGGTTAATTTGATATCACATGGCCCATAGTAACAGAGTACAACCCCCATCTGTACATCACCCACAGTGACTGCAGATTGGTAAACATGTTTGTCCTGATGGTCACTGAATATTTAAAGAGGCAACATCTCTCTCCTGGTCATATCTCCCTCTGCTCCTGACGGATATAATGTTATTACAGAGGGAACTTGAATCTGACAATTTCTGTTTTGATAATATCTCTCCATTATCTGGTTCTATAAAGGGAGAAAATGCATATATCATCACACATAGGAGATTAAGATCTTTAAAATGCCTAAGAACATCAAAAGGGATAATGGAGGGTACAACTTTGGGTATAAAATGCAGGAGTCAAATACAGAAGTTCCTGCTTTGACAAGGAGCAAGAGTGTTTCAGAGTAAGAACAAGTAGATGGGGAGCAAGTTAAGATCCCGTCCCACAAGCCAGGGCTGTGATGTGCCACCTGCGCTCACCCGCCTCACCTCTTGTTCCTGTCTTCCAGCTGTAGTGTGTACACCGTGTCATCAGCAGCATGTGTCTTGGCATTACTGTCTCCCCATTTTAGCTTCAGGCTCTGAGGACCAGCTGCGGCACATTCTAGTCTAGGAGGTGAGGGGGGTAGCGGCCGAGTCTTTGCTTTAATGAACTGACTAAATGGTCCAGCTCCAATCTCATTTATGGCCTGGATTCTGATCCTAGGAGAGGGGGAAAAAAGACAAGGCAGGTTTAAGAAGGGAACACTCTTCATTCAAAATGAACATTAGTGGAGTATTTATTACTTGCCCCTAAAGCAATGTTGTAGAATGGATACAGTCCTATAGGTGACTGGGACCTTCTCATACAAACCCACAGCAATGGAGTCAGCATGGCTAAGACCCACACAAACGTAGGCAGACAAAAATCCAGCACAGAACTGTCAAAATGAACAGCAAGCCCCAATCTTAGTCGAAGAACTATTGGCAGCTGATTACTACTGGATGAGGAAAGGCAGATCTTCTCGAAGAAAGAGACTCTAGATAGGCTGACTAAATCCTGGTGGATGAACTTGCATGGAGGGATATCTCAGGGCTTTACATAATAGGCCTTAAAACAAATGACTGAATGTATGAACTCCAGTGGGGGGTGGGGGTTATGGGAGAGTATCAAAGGAGAAGGGGGTATGAAGATGATTTTATGTATGAAATACACAAAAATTCATAAAAATTATATTAAAAAAGAATAAAGAAAAACAAGTAGAGAAACTGTGACTGGGAAGTTCAGAGGACAGACAGTATTCTCCATTCCAAAACAGCAAAAAAGCATGCTAGCAAGATACTCCTTATAAAAAGTTTGTTGTTCAGGGACTGAGAAGATGGTTCAGCCGTTAAGAGCACTGGCTGCTCTTGCAGAGGACTCAGGTTCAGTTTCCAGAACCCACATGGTGGCTAACAACCATCCGTAACTCCAGTTCCAGGGGATCTGATGCCCTCTTTTGCCCTCCATGGGCATTGAACAACACGGGTGTACTTATATACATGCAGGCAATACACTCAAACACATAAAACAAGATAAATAAAATATTTAAAAAGACTGCATAAGTCAACCTAATGTATCTGTAGACTATTAGAATAAAAAGTTACTAATGCCAGGTGAGATGGTGCACACTTATACACATTCAGGCAATGCACCCATACACAATAAAAAAAAAGTTTGTTGTCCGAAAGATGTCTGCTAACATGCTCTTATAGTTTGTTCTAGCCGCTTACAATGACCTCAAAGTCAGCTTTGGAATCAGACGGGTCATAAAGAGTAAATTAAAAAGAGAACAAATGAGTCTCCTCCAGTCAAGGCTAAAGGCCAACAATCCTTCCAGGGGACACGACCTCTCCCCTTTGCCAGTCTTTCCAACACCGCTGCAGGTCTCTAAGCAGCACAAAGTGAGTACACGCGCTAGCAGGGTAACACTCAGACACAAAAATCTTAACTGGATGCTTCCTGTGTGCAGTAAAGATCTATCAAGCCTGCCCTTGGTCTAGGAGTTTTAAACCTAAGAGTTAGATGTATATACATAAAACTTTCTTTTACATAGTTTTACATAGTGGGGATATCACCCCTGTTTTCCATTTTTCTTCTGCTTCCCAACTTGTTGATCAGTAATGGTTCTCCAAGGTCATGAAGGTCATGGAACTGTACTTGGCTGGCACTGCACCCCCGCCCTCAGTCTCTGCACAGGCTGTGTGCTCCTGACAATTGCATTTTCCTGCATGTGGAGGCTGGCATGTGCTGTGGGGACACTTCTCTGATGCTCTGATCAAAGTACTTCCCTCCTACTTCCTTGGTCTAAGCATTTACTACCATTTAAAATTTCCTTTCATTTACAGAATTCTCAAGTTGACCTCCTGTCTGTACAGCCTCACCCACATTAAGACCACTCTCAGGCCTGCATCTCCTAGTCTGTTTGGGACTCTGCGGCCCTCCAGTGCGACCCTCTCTCTAGACTCCTCCCTAGGTTCACTGGACTCTCACTGAGTAGGCTGAGAAGGATGGTGTTAATAGTTAAAAGTTTCAATACTGAAACTTGATTTGAATTCATAACTGTTTCAAAACACTATAATGAAGGAAAAATATTTGGGCAGCAGATCATTTTCAAGTATCCTATTTATTTACTTTAGTATAATTCTCATTTACAGCTTTAATTGCTTATACATAAACAGAAAGCATCATTTAAGTATCACAGTACTGAAACATATCATGTGACCTCAAATGAGCCAAATTCTTCAAACTTAAAGACTATAAATTTGGACTGGAGAGATAGCTCAGCAGTTAAGGGAACTTACTGCTGTTGCAGAGGACCTGGTTCTGAGTCCCAGCACCCACATGGCAGGTAACAACTATCTGTAACTCCAGTTCTAGGGGATCCAACGCCTTCTTCTGACCTCTATGGGCACTGTACAACAGGTGCATACATACATGCAGGCAATACGCTTATACACATAAAATAAAAATAATAAAATAGTTTAAAAAAGACTACGTAAGTCAACCTAATGTATCTGTAGACAATTAAAAGAAAAGGTCACTATTCCCAGGCCGGATGGAGCACCCCCTCTTCTTGTAGCTGTTCAGCTTGGGAAAAAGCACAGCTGCTTCAGGACTACAGAGAGTAAGTTACAGCTGACAGCTTGGAAGAAGCATAGAAGGAATTTTTCACCAAATTGGCAGGGAGTTCATCATCTCCCTCTGTTATACCCTGGGCTGACTACGTCCACAGTGGGTATCTGAGGGCAGAGCTTCAGGAAAGGCTTGGTTCCCAGGGCACATACTGTCTTAAGTACGGTGGAGAGATTTCTTTACTTTTTGTCCCCTCCACTTTCTCATTCCCCAGACCTTAGGCAATCCTATCCTACCCACCGTCTAAAGAACAAAAAAAACCCAGATGATCATATCAATTGATAAAGCATTTGACACAATCCAATATCTATTTATGACAAAAATTCGCAGAAACTAGAAGAGAATTTCTTTGACCTGAAAAAAGGCACCTAAACAAAACACCTACAGCTACGGTGACTCTGTGGGGGATGAAATACTTTCCTTTAAGACCTGGAGCAAGGCCAGTGGCAAGGACGGGCTTGCTCACTCTCCTTCTCAACAGTATTTGTAGAAATCCCAGTCAGTGCAGGAAACAAATGGCACTGAGATAAGAAGGAAAGAAATGGAATACACAAGACACAGGTGAAAATACTGCAGAGGATTTTCCCAAGTAGAGAGACACACAGTGTTCACCAGCTGGAAAACTCCACAGTGCGATGTCAATTCTCCCGTAATTGATCATTATTGGACAAAATGCAATGAAAAGAGATCCTAGTATTTGGGAGGCTGAAGCAGGAGGATGGAGGGTTCATGGCCAACCTGGGCTATACAGTAAGATTTTGAAAAAGCAAAACAAAACTAAACAAAAAAACCCGAAACAAACTAACAAACAAAAACAAATGAAAGTCCCAGAAGGATTCTTAGGAGATAAAGACAGCCTAAAAGTTACATGGAAAGGAACTAAAATAGCTATTACAAGTTTGAAAAGTAAGAACGGAGATGCAGGACTTGGACTACCTGACTTTAGGACTTACTATAAAGCTACAGTAATCAAGACAGTGTGGTAAAGAGACAGACACACAGATCAATGGAGCAGAATAGAGGCTCCAGAAATAGACCTACACAAATTGATTTCTGACAAAGGTGTGAAGGCAGTCCAATGGAGAATGGATGGTCTTTTCAGCAAATGGGGTGGGAGCAATTGATGTCAACAGGAAAATAAAAAATAAACGTCAACTTAAACCTCACACCTCATAAAAAAACCTTAGCTCAAAAATTGATCATAGATCTAAATGTAGAATATAAAACTTTCAGAAGAAAACACAAGAGAAAATCTTTGTTACCTAAAACTTGGTAAAGGGTTTTCATATATGACATGAAAAATGTGTGTGACATGAAAGAGAAAGAAAATCTGGATTAATTTCTTTTCATTGTTACGATGAGACTTTGAGAAAGTTGTGCAAATTGAACATTTGACAAAGGATTTGTATTCAGAGTGTTTAAAGAGCTCTCCAACTCAGCAGAAAGGGCTGATGATCTACTTCAGGGTAGAGCCCCATTACCACACATACTTTCTCACTCAATCTCTCAATCTCTCTCTCTCTACACACACACACACACACACACACACCTCACACGCACGCATGCACGCACACATGCATCCATTCACACACAGAGGAAGAAAACATCAACCCGAATAAAAAATGGGCAGAAAACTGAACGGACATCAAAGAGGACACTGTGTTGATAATTAATTACACATTCCACATTAGCCATTTGGGAAATGAAAATTAAAGACCACAAGATACCACTGTGCATATGCACATATATATATATTTGTGTGTGTATGAATAAAAAGATGGGGCAACTACACTGCTTCCCGATAAAGCCAAGTCACCACACTCGGGTGTTTAGAGAAATCAGTACTCACAGCTCACAGTTTACAGTAGCTTTATTCGTAACACCTGAAACCTGATGTGCACCTGCCTGTGGTTTGGGGTGTAGTGAACACTTATCCCCAGTAGAGGGCAGAAAAAACACTCTATCACATAGGGCCTTATTTTCTCCAAATTCAACTGCACTAGGAGATCTGAAGTCTTTTATACAAAAGCAATGAAGTTTCATGGGATAATGCTGCAAGACTAAAATAACTCATTCCTTGCTTCTCGAACAAGCCTCAGAAAATAGTTTTATGGTATTAATCATCCTTTCCCTCACCCGTATGATTGGAATGTGACAAATGCTTCTGCAGAGAAGGGAAATCTTTGGAAAGACAGCTGTCTTAGTATTAGAAATCCCTGTGGCCTATCTCTTCTGAGGAACAGAGAAGACAGATGTTGCGTCTAGTACTTCTTCAAAGGCTATAAGATTTATCTTGTCTTTCTAGTGCCCGAATCATCATTCCTTCCCTTCCATTTAGGCACAGGGTAGATCTGCAGTCCAAGGTCAAGACGTTCCCTATCTTTGCTGGCCCACCACCCTGCAGAGTCAAGTTCACTTTGCATGCCAGGAGGCCCTTTATCCTTTCCTGTGCCCCATGCAGTCCAACAGCCCTTCACACACAAAGGAAGTGAGGTAACGGGTTGGGGTTGCTTGGGACTGCTGTTCTTCTGTGAGCAAGAAAACAAAG